CAACTGCATGCTGTTTATGTACTAGGGTAAGCTCTCTGTCTTGGCGGACAGCTTTGGAATACCTAACGGTAACCATGTTAATGTGTATGTATTTAATTATTCTTGTTAAACTCTACTCTGATCTTCAGTTTATGATATAAAACTTCATTGTTCAGTTACATTTAAAATAAAAATGGATTTCTAAGCTCCTTTTATTTTCATGTTGTGCCTGAGAGAAGCTTATTTTAGAGGACAATAACTTTAAACCATTTTGACTTTATTTTCCAGTATTGTTGTATAGCTTCTGTTTTTAAGCATAGAACAAGAAACACATAAAGTGTTAAGTATACACGAGAGCAGATACATAAAATGGAAGGTCACCAGTAGTACTGCTGCAATATTCACAATTACAGATAAAATCAGCGTATTTGATAATTTAACTCTTAAATACCACTGCAAGTAAGAATTTGTTTTCTAAATGGTACCAAGACCTGCCCTTGCTACAGTGATGGAGAAGAACGAAGCAGAAGGTATTCTTTGTGTATTTCCACAGTCCACAGGGTAGATTACATCAATTCAAAATGTAAGATGAAACATGGTGTCATTCTCAAAGTGAGACATTCACTTTATCACGTAACTCTGAAGCTGTTTCACAAATCATGCAAGTAGATACATATTTACTATAGTACTTAGCATATTTTCTCTCTTTAATTGTCATCCAACAAAATCAAGAGACTTTTTTTTTTCCAAATCACCGTCTTATCTCACTGCAAATTTTATCTTTAAAGCTTGCTATCTGTCATGGGCAAGCATTCTGTTTCATCAATTACATCATGATGTGGCATATACTCTTAAAAGGTTCCTGTTGCTGTACAATCTATAAAAATCATGGTGTGAACATTAAAGGAGAAGAACTGCTGGCATTTTAAGATCTGTGTCAAGATTCTATCCCAGGTTAAGTGACAGCAATCAAAAAGAAAGGAGACCTGAAGACAAATCTGTACGAGAGCTGAGCCAGCACAGCAGTTATTGGGAATCATTGGACAAGGACCTCTAACTGAACGGTGCTACATAAACAACTCAACAGCATTGTTTTTGATACAGGAATGTTACCATTTAATATATATACTAATCCTCAACATTAAAATCTTCTCCTGCAGCAAAGACTGAGGTATTTTTCAGTGACACAACTGCATGGGAGGAATAATTCTGTAATGCTAATGAAAATGATGTCATCAATTTGCAATCATGTTTTCCTGTAAACTCGCTTTTGATTTTACATTTGGCAAATACAGGCATTATATCCAAAAAAGCATGTGTCTCCTTCTGCAGACATGACTGACAAGGCCTGTGTGCAATATGCTTCCAAAACAAACATGACTCAATACCTTTGGGTCGGTAACTCATACGAATGATGAAGAATGTTTTTTGGTAATATTCCTAAAGTGTATCTTAGAGAAAGTAGCAATTCGTCTGTTGGATAAACATAATCAATATTGGGTTTATAAAAATTTGCATGCTGTGTGATAATTGTGGCTTCTTGTAGGATACACACAGTTACACAAACTACTTGATTACATGGCTATACTTAAGCAAATTTGTTATATGTAAAAAAATAAACACATTTTTGAAATCTACAGCTTTACCAGACCAACATGTCTTTCAGGGCGAGCACTGAGAGAGCCACTTGACATAAAGTATGCAAAAGAAAAACAAACTGTGTGATTTGCGGAACTTACAAAAGCCCCTTTTTGTGTAATTTCACAGTGATGGAATCACAGATGTGGGTACGTTCACAGCTGGCACAATGTGAAGTGTATTTTCATGTAGGCCAGGCACTAGGTCCTCAGCAGAGGTTACCAGTTAATATCATGAGAATATTATCTGAGTTCCCAGATCCCAATCTGACCCCCGAAATTAGTCACAAAACTCTCCACAGGAATCCTCTTGCCTATAGTTTGCTAGTCAACCAAGGAAATAATTCACTATTTCTGTTTCACAATGTCAGTCTATTTCAAACAGAAACCATTTGGTGCTGAGCAATAGCACAATTTATATGTCTTCTGAAAGGCTGAAATTAATATTAAAATATTAAAAGGGTTAAGAAAAAATATAAAAAATATTAAAAGGGTTAAAAATATTAAAAGGGTTAATTAGGAAAGTGAACAGTCAGAGGACTAATAAGTGCTACCTGCAAACCTGTGCTGAAAGCGGTATGTATTAAAGGTGAGTACCTATTAGACTGCTAGATGAATGTTCCTTGTTTGGAGTTAAAAAAAATAAAAATCCCACAATGACTGGATACTTGGTATGTAACATATTTAGGAAAAGTATTTAAAATCCATGGATGACCTAGTCTCTGACTGGCTTGGCCACCTAAAGATTGGGTAAGTTATAAAATAGAGTGTTAAGTGTTTGCTGACTGTCTATGTTCTGAATAGCTCAGCAGACCAGAATTATTGAGTGTTTCATTGTGTCACAGGTTTCCTTATCCAGAAAGAGTACATTACTCAGCAATTAGCTAAGGACTTTATAAGGACTTCTGGAGATTTCTGCAGAAGAAATTGCCCAATGATCAATGCTTCTCACTCAAAAAATGCAAAGCCCCCATTTAATTTCTGTTTGAACTGGCTCGCTCCAGAGCTAGTCAGCAACAATGAAAGTGATTACCAGAAGATCAACGAGCTGTTTCGTGCCCCATTCCTGAGGTTACACATTTTCTGAGGCTCATCTTTTTTCCTTATGGGATTGATCTGCACTGCTGAAGTCAGTGAAGGCACACTCAAGACATAACATTGAGAAATTACTCCTTTCTCCACTGAAATCACTTGTGAGAAGAATTACAAAAACTGTTTATCACAAACTACCAAAACTGAGCTTGAGTAAGAGATCACGGATTGTCTCAGAATACTGGAAGCTGTCCACAAGCTTAAGTTTGGTGTGAACTTAAGAAGACAGTTTTAGAGGCTAAAGGGTTTGAAGGATTTTTTAAAATAGAAAATATTGTATATTAAATATTTAAATTATATATATCATATTTTATATCTGCATACACAGACACACACACATGCACACAGCAGTCCTCTCCATACTGGAAAATCCAGACTGTTATCCCTAGCAGACCTTCCAGAGTTGTCAAACCTGATCCTGCTCGGCAGTAACTTTTCACAGTTGCAGTGCAGTTTGTTAGTTACATTCAGCGCTACAGTTCACAAGCCTTCTAGCAGGGATAAGCCCAGGAGGAAAGGAAAATAAACTATGAACTATGTAACAAGGTGAAAACCAAGTGTTACAAGAGCACCATTCAGAATGAGGAAAGGTTTGCGGCTGTCCTCCAGTGTGTGCACAACGGCTTTTAATCGGCTGGAGAGAAGACCTGATGGAAAATGCAGCAATGCTCCCCTGATCTGATGGCTCATGTGCAAATGAGCAACCTAAGTGGCAGTTGGGCATATTTTGTAGGTATACTACTGGTGTAGTTCATAAAACATTACTGAGAAGAATCGTTCTGGAAGCAATAACAAGAAAAAAACAACCATTTTTTCCAACCCTTTTTTTAGCTACCAAAATCTTTCTATAAGTAATCCAAGACATATTGCATCTAAAGTCTTTACAATTGTCACATACACACTAACTCTGACCCTCTTCCCGGACTTATTTTGGAGCATGAGGTGCTCCGTCGTGTTCAAGGGGCAGCTGTCATCAGGTGGGGATGGGTCTGTGGAGCTGTACGGTGGTGTCACACAATGCGGGAGTAGTGGTTTGGAGAAACGCACATTAACAGCCCTCCCCTGACCCTGTTCCCCAAAACTCAGGCTCTGACGTTACGTCTTCATTTCACATTTAACTCTTAGATCTACTGAGATCAACGAAGAGAGGGCCATAATGCAAAACCGTATTTGAGCTGCACACAACAGAATTAGCAGCTCACCCGAGCGCTAGTCCCTAGCTCTAGTGACGGAGGTTACACAGCATCCTCACTACAGGAGGATGAAAGCAGCCTGAACCTCAGAGTCCAAACGCCTATAAAGGACCCGTCGGCCCGAGGGCCGCCAGCCGAAGGGCCTTGGCAGCTGCCGGCCGGCCCCGGTGGACACAGGCGGCCTGCGGCGCTAACGACAGCAGCAGCGATCCCCTCTGCATAGGATAACGATCACACCGCCCCGCTCGCGTCACGTCAATCGCACAGGAGCATGCGCGATGGGGACAGCACGGGAAAGGCCACTGCCGCGCACGCGCTCTGCCCGCCCCGTGCCTCAGTACCTGCGAGCCGCCCGGTGCTGTTGTGGCTTTCTTCTTCTTGGTGGGGCCGCCGCCTGTGCCCGGGCTCGCTGGGCGCTTCTTGGTACGGGATGGGCCGCCGGCGGGAGAGGAGGCCGCCGCGGGGATCACACTCGCCATTGCTCCCCCCCTCCACGCCCGGGCTGAGGGCGCCGGCGGGGCGGAACCGAGAGAGAGAGCTTGCTCCTTCCCCGTACCGGGCGGCGGGATGCGCATGCGCAGTAGCGGCGGCGCGACCTCCGCTTCGCCGTTCTCGTCTAGGTTGTGTGGGGGAAGGTGCTAATCATGTGGGGATCACAGGATGGTTTGGGTTGGAAAGGACCTTAAGATCATCCGGTTCCAACCCCCCTACCATGGGCAGAGACACCTTTCATTAGGCCAGGTTGCTTCAAGCCACGTCGAACCTGGCCTTGAGCACTGACGTGGATGGGGCATCCCCAGCCTCTGGGCAACCTGTGCCAGGGTCTCAGCATTCTCAGGCAGGTCATGGCGGTTTGGCCCCACTTGCAAGTTTTTCCACCACGGGTGCGTGAGACCAATGCTTCAGCAGCGGGGGCAAACCTCACAGGAAGCTGCCTGCCTTTGTATTGTGTTCCTTCTACCAGGCCTGCAGTAGCTCAGGCCCCTTCTGTGCACAGTTCACCTCACCTTGGCATAGCCCTAGTGCTCCCGAGTGTAGGCAGTGACAAAATGTGGTAAGCTTGGGGTTTGCTAACTGTCAGAGGTAGGAAGTGTGCATGGCTGGAAAGGGTGCTTTCACCAAGCCCCATGTATCACAGAGGCTTTTCAGATATGCACTGAGCAGTCACTTGGGATGTGCAAACTAAAAGACTGCATAAGATTCGACTGAATGAATGCAGTCTGTAGTCTGGGACATGTGGGATCTAGTCCATGCACAGCTTGAGATCTGGAGTACAGTGCTGTGTTTGCAGGCAGTCACTATCTTAAGCCTCCTCAAAGTGAGGTAGCTTATGCACACCACTTTCAGACCACAAGAAGGGTCTGTGGGTCCCAAATGTGTCAGCGTTTTCCAGCTGCCTTGGTAAAACCTGCAGCTGGTTTTAATTGCGTCCCTCGGTTCTGAGATCATGAGCTCAGAGAAGCTTTCCTGTAAGTGTTCTATGTGGTTGTCCACACTTAAACTGTACCACCTTTAAAATGCAAGTTGCAAGTAATTACAGTTGTCATTAAAGATGGTAGTCGTATTTTCGAGAGAGCTGATAATGAATGTCTTTCTGGTTAATTCCTACTGCTACAGATCTGTTTGCTTCCATGCTGTTTTGACATGGCTAGTGACCTGGTCCAGCAATTTTTTTTCCTTTTATTGGAATCTGGAGTAATTTTGCACTGGAGCAACATGCCAGAATAGATTTGTGATGATTCGGACAGAACTCCAAAGTTTTTTTGCAGTCCTCTTGCTCTCTGGTGCTGTTTTATACCCTACCCCAGAGAACAAGTTGGTGGCAGTAAGGGGTTGCAGACAGTCCTGGAGCTGCTTGATTGATGGCTGTTAAAACTGATTTTAGTCTTTTTATGCTTGCATACATCTGCATTCAACATACTGGTCAACTTATTACCATATTTGTTTGAGGCACCTCTATACAATGCCTCACTACTAGGTTTCTAGCTGCAGCTGTATGAGATCCTATCCCAGCATGTGCTTTGTGGGAAGGCAGAGGTCCAACAAGTTGAAGTTCAGGCATAAAAATTAGGTCACATTTATAGATAGTGCTGTAATGAGGGCTGAGCTTGGTCACAGTAGGGGTGCCAGGCAGGGCTGTGTAAAACAAAAGCTCCGAAGGTGGCCTGAAAGAGAGCTGGAGACAAAAGCCTGGACTTCCAGGCTGTGTTCCAGGCACCTGTGTATGTAGCAGGAAAGCAGGACAAGAGTTGCTTTCCAGGGGTGTAAGCGAGGCCTTGTACAAACACCCAAGTCCCATCTTCTCCTCCCCAATGGTAGTTGTTGTCTTTCTTTCTGAGTGTGTGGGCTGCCAACAGCACTGCAAAGCCAACTGGTAAACATGATTGTGTTTGCCCTCAGTGACTGTTCCTGGCTGTTGCATGTGATGCAGTATGTGTTTCTGCCTGTTTCAGGTGACAGCCTCCTGTCGCATGCCCAGCGTGGTGACCTGAGCTTGAAATTAGCAGGAACACTGGGAATTTCCAGGGAGTCATGTTCGCGGACAAAGCCAAATGTGCTGTGCTGTGTGCTCAGAGCACTGATCTTAGTCAGCCTTTTTTTGTTCCCAGGGCTGGGTCCCATCCCTTTCCCACGCACATGCTGTGTGCTCAGCTCCCAGCATGCCCGATTAAAAAAGAAAGTGTGCCTTATCAGAGGAATGTTTTTACTGAGAGGAGCAACTTTAATGCCACTGCAGAGTAGATGTTGCATGTAAGTCATGCAGTGAATGAACATGCTGCATCAGTGAAAGTTTTTAAATAGCATTTACCCAGGCATTTTCTTATCTGTACCCATTTTTATCAATCAGTTGTCTCGAAACAAGATCACAAGGCCCATGTGTTGTTGCAGCAATATTAAATGCAATGCAATTTTACATGGGACCAAATGCTTTACAATCCCAGGAGGCCTACAACTCACTGGAAAATAGCATTAATGGCAATGTAAACGGTGAGAGTGTCTGCAGGAGATGAGTAATGGAATTAGGGATGTGGGAAGGGCTGTGGAGTTGCAAGGCAGCCATCTCCCTGCTCCTTGAGTGGCTGCCCACACCCGGCCCTGCTGAACATTGAGAGGGGGTGTTCTGGTGAGTAAGTGCATATGTATCTTGCTAGGTTCCTGTTACACACGTAAACAGGCAATTCCTTTGTCATATGGATGAGGGCTTGCCTGAAGAAGTGCACATGCAATTGCTAGTCTGCCTTGGTGTGACATGGCTTTTCCTCCTGCTTATTCTAAACCTGTCTTGAGGTGAACCCCCTTTCCCTCATTAGTACTGCAGTGCCTATTTTTTTATATGCTACCTGGCTAATAAAAAAAATTAAATACCATTCAGCAATAATCCTGCAAGCTTTTTGATGTGAACAGTCACCCATCTGCCTGTTAGTAATAGTGTCAATGAACTGGAAAGGCTCCTTGTACTTTTCTTGGTAATAGGTGTGGAAAAATGCAGGAGTCTCCTGAATTAGGGAAGAAGATCTCAGGCTCCTAGCCCAGGATTGTGAGGTGGTGTTTTGGTTTTGTTATGTGTGGGTTTTTTTTCCTTTCACTGAATCAAAAGTGGCCACAAACAATAGTTTTCTCATCACACAGAGGGGATCACTGTGAAGCTGTTGATGCATATGAAGGGTGGGGGATGCTTCATGATTAGGATAATTTAAGTTTTTCTATTTTATTTTTTCCTTCATGGAGGAAGAAAATGATGACAGCAGAAAATGTTTGGAAAACCAGCAGAAGGATCTTTAGCATGAATTAAGATAAGGCAGAGTAGAGAGCAAGGCCGCTGTGCAGGATGTGTCTGTGAGCTGTGGGGGTTGTGGAAGGGCTCTGCTGTGGGCTGAGAGGCATCACATCAGCAACGACTGACCTGAAGTGGAAAAAGATGCTGCCGTTATGAATGTCACTAGTGTGTACCTAGAGGTGCAGCAGCAGCTGGTGAAAATCCATAGGCCAAAAGTGTTGGGACAGGTCACACCTCATCAGAGCAGCTCCCTGTCCCAGCCCCAGCAGCAGCTTGCTAGTGAGTAGAGAGCTTTGCCAGCTCCCTTCCTACCTGTACTGTGAACTGGCCCAGCGAGTGGCTGCTTGCAGAGAGACACCCTACAACTGCCACATTTGGGCTGAGTGGGACCAAATGCCTTGGACGCTGCTGGACCAAATGCCTTGGTACTCTTCTGCTTCATCCAAAGGAAAAGCCAGTATCCACAACTATGAATTTGTTTTGCTCTAAGCTTTGCAATTAAATCTAACTCGGTACATAATTTACATCCCACCTGCCTGTTAAGCTTTCAATATTCCTGCTAGTTTTACTTCTGTACTACCAGAAAAATGGGGTTAAAAATTAAACTGTCTGTGGCTTTACTTACTGGCCATATTGCAGTTTATAAAGTGATTTAGTATCCAAAATGGTGTGAGAGCATATACATAATCCCTCTGTATACCACTGAGTTAAATTGAAGGCTTTAAATTTCTCACATAACCTACTTCTGCATTTCTTTTGGTATCTACAAAGTGGGGATAACTTTTTACTAGGTGGTAAATTGAACTCAATGTAGGAAGTTGTGGCAGTTAGATACATTGTCTAGTGATGGTTACATAGTGATTTGTACCATTACAATTGACTGGCCATGGTATCAGACAACTTTTCTGTTAATTCAGCCATCTTTAGAAGCATTGCACATATGTAATTTGTGTTATAATTTGTAAGGTTTTAACTCTTTAAAGACACGTTTTATTTTAAAAAATAACTTTTTTTTTAAGCTGTGTATGTGTCTATCAGGTGTCATTTGCATTTTTATAGAGGCTCTGGAAAAAGAAAGGATTGAAGTTCTCAGCTTCGCTGCTCTATCAGGTAAAAAGCAATAGATTCATGCAGGGTAGCTTGTGAGGTCTGGTGGCATTTTGTACATTATTCTTTAAAAGTACTTGGAGGCTTTGATGACTTTTCAGAGCCTGCAGCTTGAACTCTTGTGATTTGCATTTGTTCCCTGCAATTTGCAGCTGCAGGCGCTGCACTAGCTTTGTTTAAATATAATGCCAAGTGCCTTTAAAATAGGTATTTGAACTTTGGATTAAGGAGACTACTTGTGTGATATTAAAGGCCTTTTTACTGCACACATCAAATATATAATTTTCAATGCAATCTTCCTGTTAGAAGTTTTGAAAAAGACATTTCTGTATTCTTAGTAACACAAAAAGAGAAGCAGGTCTTTAGAAATGCCTTCTGTGCCATTTTCCTAGTAGCCTCTCCTTCTCTAGGTTTATTTTAAAATGTGATGAATTTGACACATCAGAAATGAGCAGTAAGAGAGGAGTCAAAGTGCTGTTCTGTTTGCAGTTTAGTTGTACTTAATTTGAATTTTTTTGCTACTAATAGTAAAGTTAGGCTGGCAGCACGCTTGCCACTTATCAATGTTGTTACATGAAGTGTGGACGACTGACCAAAATTTGTGTGAATGCTGTGTCTGGCAAGTTTAATCGAAATACTGTGTAGGCAAGAGAAATCTATCACAAGATGTTAGGTTAAATACAGATTTTGTTATGGTGAAATAGAGTTCTACACTGGAAAACAAGTGACATGTAGTGTTTGACTTTGATTCCAAATGCTACACTGTTGGCATATACTGTGAGAGGAAGAAACTGGCCATTGTACAGTTAATGGAGCCCTGTATTCTCTATATTCTGGATAATTATTTATTATGCAATATTTAACATATTTACCCACTGTCTCAAAAGATTTATGAATTAATTTATCATACCAGATTTAATCTTATCTTTTTGAAAGTGAAAATGGGTTAAGAATTTCCCTATTTACTTTGCATTCAGATTCTGATGAATGTTTTCCGCAGTTATTCATGTGAACAAGTTCTTCATTTCTGAAATGCTCAGCTGAGAAAGATAAAAATGCCATGATACTCATTTGCATAATCTTTAATACAGTAACCACCTTGAAAATGCTGTAGGTTTGTAGACTGCAAAAAATGTGGATTAGCTGAGTAAGTAACCTGATTTATGAACATAAGAGCTCTGTGGAATGGCAAATAGTTTGTGAGCAATCTGGAGACTGAGCATGGTCATAGAATTAATTTATTAATAATTTTAAATAAAGAATAAATTCACAGAAATAAAAGTGTCCCATTGAATTACTTAACAGAACAGGGGTTGAAGTGACTTAATAAACTGCTCACAGGGATTAGCTCATGCATCTTCGCTTGTTAGAACAAGTCTTCCAGTGCTACAGCACTTCTAGTTCTATGGTAATTCTTCATTTGCCTGTAGATTAAGGCTGTGATATTTTTACTGCAATTAGGATATAAATTTGAGTAAGTTAATATTGTCAACAGTATCTGTACTAGTGGGCCATCTGTGAATGTTACAGCTTTGCTCACTGTTATTTTCTCGATGCAAAACCCTCCCCACAAAAGATGAGGAT